TTTATTTTGAGAGAGACAGAGCACAAGCAAGGGAGGGGCAGAGAGAGGGGGGGAAAGAGGATCCGAAGCAGGCTCCATGCTCCGAGCTGTCAGCACAGAGTCCGACGCGGGGCTCGAACCCACGAACCATGAGATCATGACCTGAGCCGAAGTTGGACGCTTAACCGACTGAGCCACCTAGGTGCCCCTAAAAATTTTTTTTAAGGTTTATTTTTGAGAGAGAGAGTGCGTGTGTGTGAGCGAGCATGAGCGGGGGAGGGGCAGAGAGAGAAGGGGACAGAGGATCTGAAGCAGGCCCTGAACTAACTGGCAGCCGCAGGGCTGGAACTCATGAACCATGGGATCATGACCTGAGCCAAAGTCGGAAGCTCAACCAACTGAGCCCCCCAGGTGTCCCCAGACTGACCTTTTGGAAGAGTCCAACCTAGAATGTAGATGCTGGATGTATCATCAGTGTATCAGCATTGACCGATGTGCTCCGAGGACTGCTAATGTTTTGCATGTCTTACCGCATCATGCTGGGGGGGGAACTGTGTCAGCTAGTCGCCTTACTGGTGATGCTACTTTAGACCGCTTGGTTAGGATGGTGGCAGCCAGTGCCGTCCCTCAGAGATCCGATTTCCCTTCCGTAATTAGTAAAGTCGCGGTTACGACAGACTTTGAGACCTTGTTAACCCGCGGTTTCCTAACAATCTTCCACCCGACGGCTTAGCATCCATTGATTACCTTCGCTTGAATCAAGATTTTTCTGAAGTCCATTCTTCTTCATCAGCTAACATTCCTTTGTAAAGACAAGCTTCCTTTCTTTTTCTCTCTGTGTGTTTTCCTCAGTTTCACTGTGGACTAATGGATTGTTTTCTTTTGATGCATTAGAACCCATTACTTCAGTATGCTTTTTGATTTTCAGATTATCTCAAGTTTAGTCAAGCTTGACTCAAGCGGGGTCAAAGTTTTTTTGACGCTATCCCATTAATCTTTAATAACTTCCTTGCTTTCTAGCCCAACGAAATGTCCCAGGCTCGCCTTGTACTTTCCCATTCATTTCCCCAAGGAGTCCCGGTACCTTTTATAAATGAGTGTTATTTAGGAACCAGGAGCTGGGTGCTAGGATTGCTCACCCAATACATTTTTTTAAGATTTTATTTTTAAGTAATGTCTACACCCAGCATGGGGGTTGAACTTACAACCCCAAGATCAAGAACCTCATGTTCCACCAAATGAGCCAGCCAGGCATCAAGACACCCAATATTTTTTATCAATGACTTGAATAAAGGCTAAGAAGTTATTATCAAATTTACAGATGATTCCGAACTGAAAAGAGAAGCCAAATGTGTGATAACAGAATTAATGCTCAAGATGACCTCAATAGGAAGAAATCTGGACCAGAACCAGTAGATTCAAAGAGATCAATGTGGGTCGCCTGGGTGGCTCGGTCGTCTGGCTCAGCGTCTGGCTCAGGTCGTGATCTTGCACTTCCTGAGTTTGAGCCCTCCATCAGGCTCTGCGCCAACAGTGTAGAGGCTGCTTGGGATTCTCTTTCTCTCTCCTTCTCTCTCGGTCCCTCCCCTGCTCGTGCTCTCTCTCTAAATAAATAAATAAACAAACTTTAAAAAAAAATTAAAGGAGGGGCGCCTGGGTGACTCAGTCGGTTAAGCATCCAACTTCAGCTCAGGTCATGATCTCCCGGTTCGTGAGTTTGAGCCCCACGTCGGGCTCTGTGCTGACAGCTCGGAGCCTGGAGCCTGCTTCAGATTCTGTGTCTCCCCCTTTCTCTCTGCCCCTGCCCTGTTCACACTCTTGTCTCTCTCTCTCAAAAATAAATAAACCTTAAAAAAATTTTTTTAAACAATTAAAGGAGATCCATATGAAGTCCTGTGCTTAGGTTGAAAATGTTAAATTGCGTAATTTGAGGTTTGGGGGGAACTCTTTACTAGAGCAAAGTTGATATCAAAAAAGTAGCTCTGGTGGTTCGTTGACACGAGCCAGCAGTATTCTGTGACTCTTAGGTCATATTCATTCATTCATTCATGTAGCCACGACTTACTGAGGGTCTCCCATATGCCCGGCACTGCTTGGGCCGTGTTAGTTAATAACTAGCTCAATAAGCAAAACCGCTGCCTTCCTCAGGCAACATTCTTGGTGCTGGGGAGTGGGGGCAGCTGAGGATTCCAGACAATGAGGCAACACTAAACAAGAGTGATCAGCGCTTTGGAAAAAATAATCTCAGGGTCAAGGGAATCTGGGGAGAAGTTCAGATTCTTCCAAGAAGGTGATCTTTGAACAAAGATGTGAAGGAAGTAAGGGACTCAGTCACTGGCTGTCTGGGGGAAGAGTGTTCCAGGCAGAGGGAGTAGCCAGGGCCAAGGTCCTACCCTGAGTGCTTGGCCTGGGGGCGGGCCTGGCGTAGATGGTGGAGAGGTGGGGGTGAGGATGACACACGGCCTTGGAGACCACTGTTAAGTCTTGGGCTTTTCCTCTGAGCGAGACGGGGACTCACTGGAGGGTGTCGAGCAGAGGAGTGCCATGACCTGACTGTGGTTTCGAAAGACTCACTCTCGTTGCTGAGTTGAGAACAGGTTGCAGGGGAACCAGGGTGGAAGCAGAGGCAGCCATTAGGAGGACCTCAGAGTATCCAAGAGAAAGAGGGTGCTGACTGCAACCCCCCCACCCCCTGGGGAGGTGGTAAATGGTCAGATTATGGACTTGCTAGGGGGTCAAGTGTGAGGAACCAGAGGAAAGAAAGTAGTTTAAGGTTTTTAACCTGAGCAGCTTGAAGATGGAGTTCCTTTAAATGAGATGGAGAGGGGTGCCTGGGTGGCTCAGTCGGCTGAGCGTCCGACTTCAGCTCAGGTCATGATTTTATGGTTCGTGAGTTCGAGCCCTGCGTTGGGCTCTTTGCTGATGGCTCAGAGCCTGGAGCCTGCTTGGGATTCTATGTCTCCCTCTCTCTCTACCCTTTCCCCACTTGTGCTCTGTCTCTGTCTCTCAAAAATAAATATAAAAAAATTTAAATGAGATGGAGAAAGCTCATACAGGAGGGGCCCGTTTGGGGAGGGGGAGGGGAGAGGTCAGGAGCTTAGTGTAGGACATGCTGGATATGAGATGCCTGTCAGACAAGACAGCCCCGTAGACACGTTGAGGCCATCTGGAGTTCGGGACAGAGGTCGTGGCTGCAGATAGAAGCTTGGACATAACATAACTGGCTACAGACAGACGGACACCATTAATAGAGGTGAAGTGTCCAAGGCTTGGGCAATGCTAGAGCCCCGAGTGGTAGGTGCTGTCCACGCCCCGTGTGGAATTCTGTGTCCAGTGCTGGAAGCCCCTTTATAAAGGGGTGCTGTTAGCCTGGACCATGTCCACAGAAGGGTGTCGGGATGATGGGAGGTACAGAAATCACGGAGCGTGAGGAAGGGCTGCCTTTGAGAGGAGACCTGGTGCTGTGTGAGTACTGTGCCCATCTCCTGACAGCCACCCTGTGGGAGAGGGTGCGGTGAGCCCTGGGGGTGGGCTGAGAGCAAAAGCTGGTGGCTCTGAGGAAGCTGGTTTTGGCGGGGGGTGAAGAGGAACTTTCCAGCTAATTCCTGGAGAAACCTGCACCACTGCCCTGGAAATGACCAGCCTGGCGGAGGTTTTCAAACTCCCTTTGACCTGAAGTACAGGAAGAATTCCATTTTACTGTGATCCTGTGCACATTTAGGAAAAGGTGAAACACGTTTCCCCACACCTTCTTATCCCTTCCGTCATCATTGCGTTTCCATATTTGCTTTTCTTCTCCCCCCTTCCCCCCGCTGGAGCCCAAAAGAGGGCTGGAACTCAGGGCCCTGAGATCGAAACCTGAGCTGAGATCAAGAGTCAGAAGTTAAAGCTGAGCCACCTAGGTGCCCCATCCGCTTCTTTTTTGATGCTAATAGGGACCCCTTAAATTGATTCCAGGACCCACTGGGAGGTCCAGTCTGCAGCTTGACAGCCCTGGTCCCGGCAGAACTAAGCTCCATCCCTGAGGATGTTAGGAGCCAGGAGGATTGCGGGTGGGTGGACCTTGCCTCTTCCAAGTGGGTGCCTGTAGGATTCCACTCCAGTCTGAGGGAGTCTTTTCCCCTCCCAGCCAACGTGCGGGCTGTGGAGGAGCTCAGACGCCCCTGGCACTACCTTATACCCCGTTACCCCACTTAGGCTAATCTTGCCTCGCCCCCGCCCCCCCCCCCCCCCCCCCCGGGGGGGGGGGGGGGGGGCGGCGCCCGCCCGGGCCGCTCCGCCCCCCCCCCTCCCCCCCCGCGGTGCCTCCCCGCCCCCCCCCCCCCCCCCCCCCATCCGAGATGCGGCTTCGTGTGGGCAGAATCCTAGGCGTGGATGGCCGCGCAGGGTGCCTAGAGCGGGCGCTGAGCCTGTAGTGACCGCCCTGCCAAGACCCCAGGTGGGTTGACCGGTGCAGAAATTAGACTCGGAAGCAACCAGCCTGGTCGTCAGCACGAGCTCGGCCGATTCCTTTGGTCACGGGCAAGTGGGTGCTAGGAGCACTAGCGCGGGGGTGGGGGGTGAGGAGAGACCAAGGCTCGACCCTCGGGAGGCGCCCAGGGAGAGACCCACGCGTTTTCCCAACCCCACGCGCTCAGGGGGTCGTGGAAAAGCCGGAAGGGGGTGGGGCGGCGGCGGCAGGGCCCGCGGGGCGGGGGCCGGGTGGGACCGAGGGGTCCGCTCTGCTCCGCGCGCGCGCGCGCGGAGCAAGCTCTCGGGGCGCACAGAGCAGGGAGCAGCACGCGGCCGCCGCTCGGGCCTCCCGCGCCGGGAGGGAGGAGGGAACGGGGAGGTGGGAGGTGAGAGGTGGGAGGAGGGAGGCGGGGCGGGTTGGGCCGGGAGCGGAGCGGGAGAGGCCGGGCCGGGCGCCCGACTTCCTCCTTCGGCCCCTCCCTCCGCTCGGGGGCTGGCTCCGTCCGGGAGGGGCCGGGGGGGGGGGGGGAGGGGGCTGGCGGCCCACGTGACCGCAGCTCCCCGCCCAGGTCGAGAGACCCGGGCAGTCACGGCGGGGCGGGGCCGCCACCCGCGAGTCAAGTCGAGCCACCTGAGCCGGAGCCCCGAGGACGCCGTTGCTCCCCGCTGTCCGGAGCGCCGCGATGGGCCGGGGGAGCCGACCGCCCGCCCAGCGGAGAGCGCTGCCGCCCTGGCCGCCGCTGCTGCTTCTGCTGCTGCTGCTGCTGCTGCCGCCGCCGCCGCCGACTCGGGCGCTCGTCCCTCGGATCAGCCTGCCGCTGGGTGAGCGCTGGGGCGACCCCACGGGGGCGCGGGCTGGGGTCGGAGGGAGGGGAGGCGTCCGGGAGGTGCCCGTGCGGAGGCTGCCGTGACAAAGGAGGGAGGGAGGAGGGGGCCTGTCGGAGGCTTGGGGTCCATTACGACCCCTCCTCCTTTCGGAGCGCTGCGGGGAGGGAGAGAGCAGAGAGGGCAGCTGTGGGGCCGCGGGCCCCTTTCTTCCCTTTTGGTGGGCGGGGAGGGGGTCTTTCTCCAGCTCTGTTGTCCCAGCTCGCCCCTTGGTAGGGCGCCCTTTTCGGCCAACCCTTTCGCTCCCCGCCCCCCCTCGCCCCCCGCCAACCCTTTCGCTCCCCGCCCCCCCTCGCCCGGTGCTGGCTACCCGCTGGTCCGCCTGCCCATCTGCTTGTCTTTGATGCTGACCAGAGCCAGCCGCTGGGCCGCCCCCGAGGGCGTCGCGGGGTGGAGGGGGCCGTACTTGCCGCCCCATAAACACTGGGGTTCTGGTATTCCCAGCAAGTCGCAGCAGGACTCCTGAGCTGCGGCGGGACGGGAGTCCCTTCCCCACTCCCAGCCTTTCACCCTGGCCTACCCGCGCAGTCCCGGCCCCCAACAGGGTGGGAACCCTTCCGGGGGCCTGGGAGCGACCCCAGGGATGGGGTCAGCTCTGAGATACCCAAATCCAGGGAGAGACTCCTCCTTGGAGTGCTCTGGGGGTACCATCCTCATTGGTGGGGTCCCACACCTGGTGCTCACGCCTGCTTCAGTGGCCCCCTCCCTTTCCAGCCATGGCTGTTCCCTCTTACCCCCTTGGATCTGCTTCTCCAACTCCTCTTTGAAATCAGAGGGACCTGGATTCTAAGTTCATTTCTACTATTGGCCAAATCATTCCCTTATTCCTGTGCTCGGGTTATGTCATCTGCAAAATGGGCACAGTCGTACGTACCTTGCAAGGTTATCTTGGAGATTTCATAATACTAGGTGAGTTCTGTGGGCACAAGGTTTATAGGGGCTCAGTAAATGTTGTTTCTCTAAGCCCTTTAACTTGTTGTCACATTGGAAGAATTTGAATAAAAGGCATATAAATCAGAGGTTACAGATTGGAAGCGTACCAGACTTTCTTCTCTTTATGGCATCCCCACCCCTGAAAACATTCTGTGTACAAAAGGGAAGAGTAGCAGAGTCAGCACTTAGGTTAAGTCAGGGTCTCCTGGCCTTCAGTAACCCTGTCTGAAACGTTGCAAGATGGTATCCAGGAGATAGCTTGGGTTCAAATTCTTCTCGGCCATTTAGTAACCATATGACCTTGAGCAAGCTACTGAACCTTTCTGGGCCTTGATTTCCTCATCTTTAAAATGGGATAATAATAAAGCACGTACCTCACAGTCGTGAGGTTTAAATACGTTTATGTTTGAAAAGTCCTCAGGACAGGGCTTGGTACATAGAAACCGCTCAGTAAGTGTTAGTCGTTGTTATTGTCAAGTGTTAAGCACAGGTTTCATTCTTGTACACGCTGCACAGAGGCAGGTGACTGCCTGCGGTGGGGGCGGCGCTGGTTTGTTAGTTTGACCACAGTCCCTTGGGTGCTCTGTCTCGTTAAGTGAGGATAAACAGGTGTATCCGGACCCAGGCCTACGGCCTTGCCACTTTGGGTTATGGCCACAATTGCCTTTACCCTTAGAACAAATACTCTGATGGACTCCGCTTATGGCCCTGAGCTAGCTCACAGAGTCATATCAACTGCAGCAGGTCTGGTGTCCAGCTCTGGAACTGGACGGGGACCGCTCAGAGGATAACTGAGAGGCAGGATCGGTGAGCTCTGAGTGGGAACCGAGAGAATCTGCGTCTGAAGAGCAGCTAGAACACTTGGTGGTTGTTACCCACGTAGCTCCCAGCCCTGAGCCACTTCCACAAATCTGACTGTTGCCAGGCTCCTGTCACATACCAGCACCCCCTACGCAGGTCACTCGGTGCTCTGGTCTGGAATGTCTGTGTCACCCCCCCCCCCCCCCCCCCCCCCACACCCGTATGTTAAAGTCCAAACTCCCAGGGGACTGAGACGCAGGTTCACCTGTTAGGACTGGCGCAGACGCACCGCACAAAGGTGCCCCCGTGAGAAGTTCAGAGGGCCTAGATATGCAGTCGATACTCTGCTCTCCAAGCTGCGGATCCTAGAGAAAAAGATGTCCTGCTGTGTTCTTGAGGCTGGGTCTGCCCGAGGGGACCTCTTTTTCTAGCCCCCCTCCAAAGCCCTGGAATAGGTTAGCAGCACCTCTACACCTGAATTTGTGAGCACACATCCACACTTCACCGATGTGCACCACAGCTCGGAGCGCTGGCCTCCCTAGACGTCCTCCTGGCCCCTGATACCCGACCCGGGATGGAAGCCCCAGAGAGGAATGCCCCGGTGACTGAACGGACTCCCCCTCTGAGCATGGCCGTAGGCAGTTTCCTGCCTCATCCCCCGGGGCTTGTTAGATGTTCCTGGCGGTGTGCCTATCCTGGGTAGGCCCATGGTGACCATGGGGACTCCTGCACGGAACCGGGAGACGGGCGTGGAAGCAGAGACCGCACCCCCCTCCCCTGCTACCTGAATTCCCACCCACGCTCCCGAGGGCCCAGATGCCTAGAGACAGTGGGCTATGTCTATGGTTGGGAACAAAATCTCCAGAAGTGGAGCATCCAGTTGATGACGGAACCCTCGTTACTGTTGATCTACAGCGGATTCCTGGGACTGTCAAGGAGGGGATCCCCCATTTGTGGTCTCATCCAGTGGTCAGGAGGGGGAGGAGGACCGGGGGCTCCAGGGCCAGCTGGACGAGCAGAGAGGCCTTAAGAGGAAGTTACTTGTCTCTGTGGAAGGAATGCTTCAGAGGAGGGTGTGGAATTTTGGTTCTCTTGCGCTGGAAACTGCGGTTTGGAGTTCCAAGACCGAAGGCTCGGAAGAGGAGAGATGCTGAGTGGAAATGATGGCCCCGGTGTGTGAGCTGCAAGGCCAGCGCAGCCTGGCCGTGTGGAAAGGAACAAAGCAAACCTTCTCCTTTGGCTCACACGAGTCTTACTGAGTTCCCTTCTTTGGGCAATTAAAAGGAGTTATTAATTTCCTCCTGCCCCAGAAGTGCCTGTCTGGAAAGCTCTGGACACAGTGTTTCCAAACCAGATTGGAAATAAATAAAGCCACAGGCCTGCAGACGGCGCTCAACAAAACGCCATTGAGCTGAGGAACTGGGCATTGGCGCAGATCAGTCATTTGCCCTCTGACCCTGGAGCGGACCCCCCCGGTGCAGGCTGCTATCAGAGTCCTGCCAGCCGGTTACCGGCCTCCCTCCTTGATGTGGCCTCAGCTCCACATGAGCGTTTGTCTTCAGCTGTGGCCTGTGGCCTGGCGTGTTCATGGCCCTTCAGAGCCAAGTGGAAAGAGCTGCAACTATGGGCGCTAATAGCCCGGCCTCGAAGCCTGGCCTGGCTCCTCACTGCACCACCTGGGGCAGGCTGGGAGTAACGGCAGGACCCTCCTCACGGGGCTCTGGGAGGATTCCGTGAAATAACGTGTGGAAAGCGTTTGGCACCATGCCTGGCACGTGCTGTGTCCCCGGTAAGAAGGTAGCGGCCTCTCTTCTCTGGTGGAAATTCCCTGCCTGCCTTGCTTGGTGAGGTTATTTGCATCAATTTGGTTGACCCCGCGCTCGGCCTACACGCAGATCCTCGCCAGGGGATGGGATAGTGCAGATCCTACCCTCTGGTGTGGGGCCGGGGGGTTCCTGCCGAATTGGGTGCACTTTTCAAGTGTCTTGGTTCAGCTCTTTGAAATTCTTCTTTGCCCCGAGCACCTCCCCTGCCTGGGGCCGGACCGCACCTTTCCCTGCCCCCTGCCCCTCACCGCTTCCACGCTGCCCTGTGCATAACCCACATTCAGCAGAGTGTTGCAATGCCTGTATGCCAGCCCAGCAAAACTCTAAGCTTGCACAACTTTGGGGGCACATCTGGAGACACCTGCACGTTCATCCTCCACACAAGGGAGGCAGGATGACGCAGAGCCTGGAGAAAAGGCTGGACTCGGGTTAGGTTGTCAATCACTCTTTTCCTTTGTCCCCTTCTTAGAGGCCGTGGCCCGACCCCCACACCGCCATGGGTGCCCAGGATCTCAGGATTGGCCGAGAGGCCTCTGATGGGGCCCTCCCTGATGGGGGTTGGTGGGTAGAGGAGCTTCTTCCGGACCCTCCCCAGCCCTCCCCACCCCTCCCCACCCCTCCTCCTTGCGTTCTGTCCTCCCGGCCGGGCCCCCCTCTGTCCAGGATGGAGCGTGGCTTACACTGTGGTAGCTGTCTTGGGACAGACGCCCGAGGTCCCGTAAAGGCTCCGCTCCATCTCCAGCCATTCTCAAAGCCACAGGCAAGCGTTTTCTCTGCCTAGCCCTGTGCAGTCTCCCTGGTCATCTTCTAGCTGCCACTCCTATGTGACCATCTCCACGGTATGGGGCAGGACCACCCCCCACCCTCAGGTGGCACAGCTGGCGTCCTCGTGTGTATGCTGCAGAGTTTAGTGCCTAGAGGAAGGTGGAAGGTAATAAGTATAGAGCTACTGTGGGCACCGGGCTTTTAGTTTTCTTGTGTCACCTACACAATAGGTGATGTTATCCCTATTTATAACATAAGACAGCTGAGGTTCCGAGAGGTGAAGTATTTTGTCCAAGGCATGTGGCTCTGCCCCCCTGGAATCTGACCTGTTCTCCATGGGATCTCTCCGGTCTGACTCATGGGTCCTCTGAAAAGACCATTTTGACATTTAGTAGGGTCCGGAGAGGTTGGTGGCCCATGGTGAGGGCTTTTCAGTGGGGGTGGTAGACAGAAACCCCTCATGTTATCATAACTCTTGAGCAGGGGCCAAATGAGCCCCCCTCTTTCCTGGCCTGCCTTGTTCATCCACTGATGAACGCTCCCAGGACGGAGCACCCGCTGTGTGCCGGGCTCTGGAGGTGGTAATGTTCCATCTCGCACGTATGAGGGGAT